GGGGATCGCCTTTGGCTGCCGTACCGCGCCGGACCTCCCGCAGCGCGCCGCGACCGCCGCGAAGGGCCACCTGCTTCATCTCATCCCTGACGTCTACGTCGTGACGGACGTCGAGGCGGGGAAGCGTGAAGGGGGCAGTGGGTACGGCGTCCTCCTCGTCGCCGAGACAACCGCCGAGCGGTGCGTGATCTCGCAGGAGACGACCGCGGTCGCCGGGGAGGCGCCGGAGGCGGTTGGCCACCGCGCCGCTGAGCTGCTCTGCGATCAAATCTACGAAGGGGGGTGCGTGGATGGGCATCACCAGATGATGGTGCTGCTGCTCATGGGCGTCGCCGCCAGCGACGCGCCGTCGTCGCTGCGGTTTGGCAAACTCACCCCTGGGGCGGTTTCGATGATGGTTCTGATGCAGACCTACTTTGGCGTGACGTTTGGCCAGAGAGAAGAGGGGTCGTTTGCTGGTAAAAAATTTCCTCCAACTAATTTAATTACGTGTTTGGGCTCAGACCTCGTGAACGTATGGAAGAGGTCGAGCTGAGTGCTTCATATTAGGAAAGGGAAAGGGTATGTGATTCCTGGGTATCTGCTAGTATCTGCAACACAAGCTTTGTATAATTTTACACAGTTCGTTTTTCTTTTTTGTTGCTGGATGCTCCGTGGTGGCTTCGCATGTCAATCCACGCGCATTTCATAAAACAACTGGTGGTGGATTTGGACTCTTTGGTAAATGCAAACATCAATTACTATCTTCACTTTGCGATGGTTTTCTGCGCTCTCGTGGCTTGGGGCATATTCAGCATGATGCAAATCAAAAAAATAACAAAAAGTAGATAAGGCTATGAATCTCGACTTTTCTCGCAAGGGACTTTTTATTTTCGATGCATCCGCACTTAACAATGGGCTAAGGGGCTGCTCCGAATCTGCTGATGAGATCGAAAGCGCTCTGCCAAAGTTCCTTGATCATCCACCGTGTGTCAGGGCTATTAACCTTTCGAACAATTCGATTCATAAGTTTACGGGTGGAGAAACATTGAGAACAGTCACAGTCCTAGACCTTTCTTTTAATTCCTTGTCAGTATTGCAAAGTGCTAGTTTGCCACCTGCGCTCGTGAAGTTGAACCTTTTCCATAACCAATTGACATGCTTAGACGCGTTGAATCAGTTTCTACCGTTTCTGGAGGAGCTCAACGCTGGGCATAATGCCTTAACATCAGATGGAATAAGAAACCTGCCGAGCACGTTAGTGAACCTTAATTTGAAGTCGAATAAGTTAGAGGATTTGACTTCGTTATCAACGCTCAATCGACTAGTAAAGCTTGATGTATCCAAAAACAGGCTAACGGCGCCTGGTGAGCTGAGAATGCTGATCAACCTACGCGATTTACGGCATCTGAGCATTCAGGATAATCCACTTACGCAGGGTCAATTTGATGTGCAAAGCATAATTAAAATTGTGGCCCCGTGGCTTTCAAGCCTCGACGGCGTCACGCTTTCACATGTGAAGAACCACAACATGCACGGAGATGCAAGTGGGAAATTAAGAGAAGAGCATCCTGCCATGGGATCGCCGCAGAAACGATCTTGCAGTGCGTCAAAAATGCGTGCAGACCCTTCCATACCTTCCACTCGCTTGACTGCCGGGCGAAAAGTATACCCGTCGATTAAAAAACAGTCTACAAAGGAGTTTTTGGCGGAAACAAAAGTTAAAGAACTTGAGAAAATGCTAGCTGATGCCCAAAAAGCGGAACAGCAGGCTTTGAGGCAACGTGAACTTCTTCTCTCCCAGGTAAAAGGGTGCGCAAAGGTTATTCAAGATCAATCGGAGCAGCTCATGACGTTACGAGAAATGATCAGTACGCTAAAGAAAGAAGAAGAGACACTCAAAAAGTCTACTTCCGAGGCTGAACGAGCATTTGAAAAAGCTCACGTATCTCTTCTATCATGCCGAGTTAGCAACTCAACCCACTCATGAATGCATAGATATCACTAAATTATAGAGCTTCTTTTATCTTTTCAGAGAGCAGATGCTAGAGTTGGCAAGCTGTTCATTATTTACTTACGTACTTCCTCACCCCCTCTCTATTATGTTTACCTAGAGCTATATGGGAATATATAATTGCTAACTTTTCTCTTTACTATTATTTGCAATCATAATCGATGGCAAAGACACAATTCACGATTATCGATATATGTTATTCCAAGATTATACTTTTTCTTTAGGTTCATTAAAAATATTGTTCTATTTCCCTTCACTCATCTTATTTATTTTTCCCACATTCAGCTATTCAGGTATTCCATTATCTTTGGCTTTATTAGATAAAGCAACCTGAATCGTTTCTCTACGCTAAATTTCTAACTTCTCATCAAGGGGGCTGGAAAAGCGTACTGCAACTTTTTCGCTATTGAAACATCATTGAGGACTATTTTTGAGATGTACAGCTTCCTGTCTGCGATCGTCGTGAATCATTGATTTTACCCATTCTCGTGTCATCGATAGAGAACCTACTCATAGAGCCGACCCCTCCCACTTATCGATCATCTGAACAAACAAATCATATGGTCAATGTGCAGATCTGATTTCTTCGATTCCTATACTGAGGTGAGGGCAGTGAGTTCTGCGGATTCCTACTTGAAACCAATCCCAACAATCAAGCGCCTGATGTCCTAGTGGTGCGCTCATCTTCGCCCCTTCTCTCACAAGGGGTACGATACTTCTTTTGGTTCAAATGATAAATATGTTAAATGCAGTAAATAATCACCAAGTCAACAATTCGGGCCCCCCATCCACAAAAAAAATGCCGATAAAAGGTCTTTTAATGATCGCTCTCAATCTAATAGACAGATGACCTAGCTAGAGCCACATGGCATTAGACATAGCTGAGGTTGTTTACAGTATGTACCCATGCTGTCGGTGCTTTTTTTGGCAGTGCATTTTTGCGAGAGTTTCATAACACACTGTGAATGAGTTACCTTTGTTATGCCTCTATAGCGTTGATAAAGAAGGAAAAGTTTACTAGTGCATCCAAGCGATGAGCTGTGAGCTATTGGCATTCATTATCAAATAAATTAAGAAGCTTAGACTAATTCAAAAATCCTCTTGATCTATAAATCGAGTTGTTATATTAATTGTTTTTCCTTTTTGTTTCGGTTTAAGAGTGTAAAATATGCCTTCTTATGTTATGGGTTTTAATCAGGTTTCATTTTATTATGATTCTCGGATATTTCTTATTTCCGCTTATTCACGTACCCCTTGCTTACAGAGCGAATGAAGGTGATATTTTTTATTCTAGGCGAATTTTTTTGCGTGTTTTGTGATGGCTGTTTCTCACATGCAATACTATATCTTGCAAAGTGTAAAGCCGGCGATAAACTTCCTGGAAAACCATCCCGTTTTTCTTGCATTTTCACTCTTTTTTTTTTTAGTGCGTATTAACAGCAGTCATGGTCAGCATCAAGTGTGGATCCCGCCGCAAGGCTCGCCGCGCGCACTTCCAGGCCCCCAGCCATGTGCGCCGCATCCTCATGAGCGCCCCGCTCTCCAAGGAGCTTCGCGCGAAGTACAACGTCCGCGCGATGCCGGTGCGCAAGGACGACGAGGTCCTCGTAAAGCGTGGCTCCTTCAAGGGCCGTGAGGGCAAGGTGACGGCGTGCTACCGCCTCAAGTGGGTGATCCACATCGACAAGGTGAACCGCGAAAAGGCCAACGGCTCGACCGTGCCCGTCGGTATCCACCCCTCCAACGTCGAGATCACAAAGCTGAAGCTAACCAACCACCGTAAGGCCATCCTCGAGCGCAAGGACCGCCTCGCGAGCAGCGACAAGGGCAAGGGCAAGGTCACCGCCGCGGACAAGGCAATGCAGCAGATGGACTAAAATGACTACGATGGTGCTATTTTGACGCAACAAATTATCTTGTTCATTTTTTAAAAATAATTAATTCGTTCATAAAGCAAACTGAACAAAGTGTGTTCTTGATTCATATCCTTGGATGAGTTTACAATAATTTATGCTTACTATTTGTTTCCCGACACTCTTTTTTTCTAAAGAACATAAGGGAGCCGCTATGATCAGGAGGATCGATGCGGTAAGTGCTCGTAAGATCAGCGCCGGGCAAGTCATCACCGACTTAGCGAGTGTGTTGAAAGAGCTACTTGAGAATAGTCTTGACGCGGACGCGCGGACGGTTACGATCCGACTTCACAATTATGGATTGAGCAAGATTGTCGTCGAGGATGATGGGCACGGTATCCCTATGGCTGGGGTTCTTGACGAGTCTAACGCGCGTGGGGTAGTGGATGGGGCGGAAACACCATTGTTAATAAGCCGAGCAACCACCAAACTGAAGACGGTCCAAGGGGCCGGCCTGGCGGTTGTGGAAGATCCGGAGGAGCCCGGAGGCCCTCCCTCCCTCGGATTCCGAGGTGAGGCGTTGCACTCGTTGGCACAGGTCAGCGATATCACAATTGAAACAATGCACCACAGCCACGCCCCTCGCGCCGTCCGAGTTGAATACGACAATAAGATGCACCAGGTCCGCCTGGGGCTGTCGAGAACGCCCGAATCCCTCGGCACCATCGTGACAGTCGAGAGTTTATTTAAGCCCCTCCCGGTGCGGCACAGGGAATTCAGCCGAAACTGCCGCAAGCAGCTCCTGCGGGCCGTCCACCTGCTCAAGCAGTATGCCGTCTCGCACCCGAAGCTGCGGCTCGTTGTGACGCACCAGGAGAGTGTTGAGAGCGCCCTGGTAACGCTGATTTCGCTCACCGGATCTAACGACCTCCTGCGCAGCGTGTCAGAGGCTTACGGCGGGATGTGCTCGTTACGCATGGTGCACGTCCATTGGACTTGCTCCTTTGGAAGTTTTGACGGGTTCGTGGCAAAAGTCGGATCTGGAGGGCGAATGAGCCCGGATCATCAAATTTTTTCCCTTGACAACCGTCCGGTTGATTTGCCCCGCCTTGCGAAAACAATTAATGATTGTTTCACGCAATGCCTCCCGAACTCCTCACAGAAACTTTCGGTTGAATTTTTCCTACAAATCACAATGAAGGATAACCACAAGTATGACGTGAATCTAGCACCTAACAAACGCAAAGTGGTCTTGGTTGATGAGGATAAAATGGCCGATGAGGTGCGTGACATAGCCCTCAATGAGTTCCGTACCGCCTCCGAAGGTATTGAGATCAGTCGCGAGGCGAGGATCGCACGCACCCATGCGGCTCATCTTCAAGCTGCCAGCTCCACGAGACAAGTCCTTACACCAGTTTCCTCCACTTCTTTTACTGAGTACATATTCAACAAGAGTGCTTCACCTCACGAGACGGTGCCTCATGGTGAGTTCAGTGCTTGTGCGGAGTTTAGCAAGCTTGGACCTTTTTTATATTCTAACGCGGCCGACGTGGATTCCTTGGAACTACAAACAACAACAGCTAACGCTTTGGACCGAGTTAGCTCGATTTCGTTTGTCTCCGATGAGGACATAGAGGAAAAGAATAGCACTCCCGATGTAAGTTGTAGTCCTTCCTTGAGTATTGGGAAAGACACTGCCGTGGGGGAGGATGTGATGCATCCTCAAAGTAGCGTATCAGAGCGAATGGAAGCAGACGAACTGCAGCCCATATCCAAATGCAGACGAGTTGAGGGGGAAGGATTAACCGACTCGTCGGAGAGCGATGAGTGTATAATTCTCTCAGACAATGTGAACCAAGCACGTGAAAGGGGACCGACCACCATTTCCGTGGCCTTTCCCTCGTGGGAAAACTTGTCCAGAGGAAATTTGAGGCCCCGAATTTCAAAAACACCCCACGAAAATGTGCATTCACACACAAGCGTCTGTAGGACTCGACATAAGTCCTTTTCCAACTTCCAACAGCAAACGTCGGAGGAACTGGAATTTTTTTTCCATAAGGTATCCTTCAGAGAAATGCAAATAATTGGGCAATTTAATCATGGCTTTATTATGACCACGCTCGGAAGTGACCTCTTTGTGATTGATCAACATGCATCTGATGAAAAGTATAACTATGAGCGGCTCATGAGAGCATACGTGGCTAAGCCACAGCCACTCGTGGTACCAGTGCCAGTGCCGATGGATGCGGAGGAGGTGGAACTGGCTTTGGAGCATGGTAATGACCTAAAACTGCACGGATTTCAAGTCAAGCGAGGAGATTGCGCGACGAAGCTTCTCGTCTGCTCTATTCCTGTTCTCCCTTACGATGTCGTGAGCGCGGCTGATGTCCTCGAACTTATTCAACAGCTGGTACGCTACGGCTCCATTAAGCAACCTCTTCGTGCTGTGTGGCACTCTATGGCGACGAAGGCGTGCCGCAGCAGCATAATGATTGGCGCCGCACTGTCTGAATCCACGATGCGCACTATCGTGAACAGGTTGAGCGAAATCGAGCAACCATGGGCATGCCCACACGGACGACCGACACTGCGGCACTTGTGCAACATCCAAAACCTTAGGAATTCAACATAAATTCGGTTCTCTAATGCTTTTTCCTTTTTTCGGGAAACGACCATTTCTATCGTTCAATGAACACGTCTATCAGACAAGCAAACCTGTTGAAAGGGGACCGTGGAAGTATCTCTCCATTCCGTGCCCTGAAAGTGATATACGTTCGGGCTTTTTTCGATGCCACGGAGCATTGACCCATAATTAGGCTCCGGTTTTTATCTTAAAGAGTCGGTGATAATTTTATAGAAATACGTTTTCGTACACATAGACCCTTCGTTTGGATAATCATCTTTTCGTGGCTAGTTGCTTGCGGTTCAACAAAGCACCTTGTGGAAGTAAGTGTCCCTAGCTTTCTCGCTAGTCGTATTACGCTTTCGTTATGTGGGAATAGGCATCAATTGCTTTCTTCTTCGGGGAATACTATCGATTGAAGAATTCTCGTGAGTAGACTGGTGTAGCATCTGCTTCTTTTGTTGCTATCGCAAATCAAAGTCTTAAGATTCACGATGAAGATTCGTTATTAAGTATAGCAGCAACATTGATTTTCATGGAACTTTATATTTTAGTTTCCCACTGCGGTTACTCAGTACAGTATTTGAACGCCATCAACGGTGGATGAACATACCCAAAGATTGGTGGCTCTTTTTTCTTTTCTCACCTCGTAGACTGATTGACTGGTTTACCATAGAAGTTGTGCAGCTAGAGAAACATCTAGATAGGTATAGATATAGATATACATTTTTTGCATATTAAGGTGGCCACCTTCCTTCACACACACTCTGCTTATGCAGCAGTCGATCAACGACCATTTCAGCGGCTGTTCGGACTTGCGTGAAATCAACGAAGCGAAAGTAGCGAATATTTTGTCTTACTTGGATGGCGCGACTGCAGCCAGTGTCCACGCCGCATCCAGCCTTTCGGGGCTTCCCCTCACCCACTCTACATTGTATCAAAACACTCACATTGAGTCACCATCATTTAGAGCTGACGGAGAAAAGACCACCACAATTTCTGTTTCCCCCACTGAGCTGTTGATGCGAAATCATGAGGGAGCGGAAAACGCGCAAGCAACATACTTAGGAATCAAAAACAAAATAGAAAAGCTTAAATTTGAGAAGGATGAGCTTCACCGTGAGAACGAGGAGCTCCGCCGGCGCCTAGAAGGTTGGAGAGAACAAGAGGAGGCGCGCCGAAATGAAATGAAGATCAATTTCAAGAAGGACATAACTGAAGTTAAGCAAGAGCTCACGGAGCACAAGAAGAAGAGTGCCCAGCAAATATCTAACCTCACCAAGGAGAGGGACAACCTTAATAAAAGTGTTGAGGCTCTCTCCTTGCAACTTCGTAGCGAGCTCTCTAATCGCGAGGAGGAGCGGCGTAAGTTGGAGTCCGCCAATGCCGCCACGATATCCGCGCTAAAGGCGAAGTGGCAGGCACAGGAGCGTGCCTCGCGGGAAAAGTGGAAGCTGGCAGAGGCCAAGCGCATCAAAGAGACGACCTTGCAATCACTTGAGCCGGATATTGTGCTCCTGCTGAACCGCCACAAGGCCGAAAAGGCTCGCCTCCGCGAGGACTTTGAGAACGAGCTGCGACAGCGCGACGAGGTGATCGCCGCGAAGGACGCCTCGGTGGAGGAGCTTAAGTCCCGTCTTCAGCGCGACGCCGAGGCTGCGCTTCGACGCGAGCAGCACGCCTTTCAGGAGCGGCTGGATGAAGAGGTGGAGCGGGTGCGGCGCCAGCTAAGCGAGGACCAACGCAGCGAGAAGGCTAAGTGCCAACAGATGGAGTCGTTCTTCGAGGAACAAAAGTGCACTATGCAGCGCGAGATCGAGAGGCTAGGGAGGGAGGTGTTGGAGCTCCAATCCACCCTGACCAAGGAGAGGGCGGGCTTCCACGAGGCCGTCGCGGAGGGGGTGGCGCGCGTGACCGGACAGTCCAACAACATGTTGGAGAATCTAAAGGAAAAGCTGATGCTGGAATTCAGCTGCCGTGAAAAGGCGGCGGCGGAGCAGAATGCGCGGCATTTGCACGCAAAAGAAAATGAGCTTCGAAAGAAATTTGAAATCGAGCGCGACGCGGCGATTGCTGAAGTGACGCAGCAGTTAAAAGCCGAACAGGTACGTCTGCTTAACTCTTCCCGAGGCGCGGATGACCTGCTGAGGGAACGGTACGGACAGCTTCAGAATGAGAACGAACGACTACGTGTTGAGCTTGAGCTCATGCGTGAACAGGTAAAAGCTGCGCTCGCCGCTAAAAAGGAAAGAGAGAAGGAGATGGAAAACATGCGCGAAGTGTGCAACCTTTCAGAGCAGCACATAAAGGCAATTGAGACCCGCATCCGATCACAATATGAATCGAAGATGAGCATTTTGGATAACGCATGGCGTACCAAACTAAACGAGGTTGAAACTCAGCATATTAATGAAATATGTGAACTTCAAACACAAATAGACACACTCAAGCGTGACCTTCAGGCCGAACGGAATCGTTTTGAGATAGAACAAAACAACCTGGAACAGAGGCATCATGCTGAGCTAAACCACATTAATGAGCGCGTTTTAGTGGCAGTGACCAGAAAGGACAATACCATTCGTATTCAAGGAGATCAAATTCTTGCTCTCCAAGAAACTATCAAGATACGGGATCAAGAGCTTCAGCGACATCAGACGCTCTTGTTGTCTTGAATATGAGGGAAATAGAACTCATTTATTGTGTTGGATAATTTTTCTTTTGTGTGAGGCCATACATAAGATACATATATGCTTGATGTCGTTTCTTTTAATTTCAAGCCTACATTTTGCTTATTTGCTTTTTTTTGTTCACGAGAACTACCTTTAGATTACGATATTTTAGACACTGAATCGAGCTTAAAGAACAATAGCTCGAATTGAAATACTAATAACTTGCGATTGTATTAAATTACTCTATCTGAATCTGTGGGATGTAGTCTGGGATGTTCTTTTATGAATATGTCATAAATTAATTTTTCTCTTCTTGCCTTTGGATCGTGTCACTTCGTTCTATAGAAGAAAATGGAAAACGTACAACGGTTACGCATTAAGCCTGAAGATATTCTTGAGGGTTATGGTAGACTTGAATTCAACGACGATGTGCCCGCTCCGTCTGCGTCAATCACCTCGCCGCAAGACATTATTTTAGATTCGTCTATGACCCCTACATTTCTTCCACGAAGAAAGTGGGATCGCGCAGATGCGCTTAGGCAACTAAAGGAAGCGCTCTTGATCGACACACCACCGCGTCTTGTGATGCCTAGGGTCTCACCAGGCACTGGAGCTGAAAGAGAGGACATCCATACCTCAGATAAGCAACTAGATCTTTTGTGTAGAATAGTAGGCAAGATCCATCCGTCCATGCGCGCGTCCCGCACCCTGCAAGAGATACATTCTGAGTGTGCCGCACTTATGGACTGTCTATGCACCATAGGGAATGGCAATCTTGACTCTACAATGAGGTCTGATAGCAACATGTGGTTTGTAAGCAACGAGGGAGTGGATGTCTTGCAGGCTCGGGCACGTAGGGCACTGAGGAAGGCTCGCGAGTGGGATGAGGTACGTGAGCTTCTCGATCAAGATTCTTTTCAACGTCGCTTCTTTGATGCTAATAACGCTGAGCGTGTAATTGGAGATGTGATCAAATTCAGAGCGTGTGTTGCCCATGCGAAGGGGCTCACCAATGAGTTTGCTACGTTGCTTGACCGACTCTATCTAATAGTCCCTGTCATGGAGGGTGTCATTGGGCGATCCAGAGCCTTGGACGACCTGGAAGAGACAACCTCGTTAGAATTCAGCACAGAGTTGGATAACCTGTTGAAGGCCATGGGCAGCTTCGAGGAGATTGTAAAGCAAAACAATACCGCTCTTTCGCGTAACGTGGATTCTATAACAGAACGCGTCGCTCATATTAGACAACGACTTTCGCGTTCAAGTGAAAGTATATAAGCAAGATGATATTTGACATCATGAAAAACTTTTCATCCCTTTAAAAAGACATTTGTTCACTATATGTTGTTTCTGAAATTGCTTTCTCGGTTATGACATTCATCATTATTAGGTGAGTTCAGCTTTTTACTTTGCACAATCTTTGGCTATCTAGAAACGTTTACCTCGCATATTGATATTCTTATTTAGACTCAATACATTTTGTATTTTTTATTTCAGAAATGTGCGATGTAGACGTCAACCACTCGCATGCGGTTTTCAAGATATTTTCCGTTGAACCCGACATCAAAGATCGAGAATGCGAGAAGGAACCTTGTGTCCCTTTCTTCCTTCTCCCTGTTGCTGTACGCGAAATGGGTTATTACCCTATTCGCTCACAGATTGAATCCTTCCTGGAACGTATTCCGTCCCCTTCGAAGAATGGAGTAAATTTTTCTCAATTTTTGCAGCTCTGTGAGGAACTCGTAGGCACACGAGATATGTGTATGGCGGCTGTGCATCAATTCGTGTACCAACTAGAGAATATTAAGCCGAGTGGCGTGTTCACCACTCAGGAGCTGCTTAAAATACTAAATCTATCAGCTTATTCGATGACTCGTGATGAGATTGAGGCGGTAGTTGATTTGCTGGATCCGATGAAAACCGATCGCATCTCTTTAAAGTCATTAGCGATTGTGTTGCTGCGACATCAGCGCCCATTAAGTGAAATGTCCTGCCGAGACATTATTTCAGGGAGCACTAATGCTCAGTTATCTAAAGGTAAACGTTCAGCGATACTCTCTGCTAAGCTTCCGAAGGATTCATTGGATTGTACTCATGATAATGCTTTTCAGCCGTCTCGATTCTCTAAACACAAGGCTTCCTACCTACCTATAACACCTTCATCCCATCAGAGGGAGATATCCCACAAAGATGGGCAAGAGTCTCAGGGAAGCCGCAGCCTTCAGCATAGTGACTTTAATCCGCGCATAGCATCACATGTCGATTTGAAAGCTTCACCGGCCTCAAGGCGTCACTTTACACGTAGCCCAACGGATATGAGCGTGACAGTAGACTCCTCAGTAGGGTCTGAGAGGTTAAAGAAGTGTCCCGATATTTCACTTTGTGATAGAAACAACAATATACCAAAATTAGACCCGTTGGGTGAAACAACTGCTAATACTTTTGATAGCTTGAATAAGGATAGGATGCAGAATTCTTCAACGCGAAGGATTTGTGATTTATCTGGTGCTACTTCTAGCATGGGAGCCCCTTCTATATCAAAATACAAAAATTATGAATCACAAGTAAGGAAACAAAAGAATGGCCGAGCGGGGTGTTGTGCTGTATGTTAAATCTAAGTTCTTGGTACCTCATTTTCACTATCATTATATTTGTTTGTTTGTTTTAGAAAATTAAGTCAGAGTGTGTCGAAGTTGCACCTGATTTGTATGGCAATGAATAGGTATTAATATGCTTAGCTCGCTGCTTTTCTCGACATTTTCCGTTTAATTTCATCTCAAGTTTCGAAGAAAATCGTGTATATGTATTATAAAGCACGTAGACGAAACTATTTTACAATTGTCTCGATGAGATTGGACATGGAAATAGTGACAGGCTCAGGGTAAATTGAATTTATCAAACTTCTCTGAAAATGATTTTTGGTCCTGATTTTTGTCCAAGAACCATTAATTAATTAATTAATTAATGATTTCCGTTTTGGTAAATCTTCTTATTTTATTCAACACGTTGAATCTATGCAGCTCCCCAATGACTACTACTATCGCCTATATAGTCTTTGTGCTTAGGTATCTATCTTAGTGATGCAGAATAGGATTTCTAAAGATAATTTCGCCGAAATAGCTCAACATGCTGTGACCAGTATACGACGTTTAGTAAGCTCCGGCCATCAAGAAAATACCAGACCATCTCAGCAAGATCTCCTTTCTGCCTCCAAACAGATAGAGGAAATGTGGAAAAAGAATAAAATGCCAGTTGACGTATCCGTGGTCAATCTGTGGGTGACCAGCCTCGCAGCTGAGCTTTATTTTCATCTGAACTCTGAGGATAAGGGAAGTGCACGCAGATTTATTTCAGAGTCTGTAATGGTGACGACGTTAGAGGCAGCTCGTATTGTCTGTCATACTGACAGCCTTTCTAACTGTACCCCTATTGTTATTCGCAATCTTATTCTGCTCTTGGTCGAATATTTCATGAAGATACCGCTTACCAAGCGAGTCCGTGATATATTAGCTCTAGTGTTGGTTGAGCTCTATGTAAGCCAGGTAGCCCTTTTAGACGAATTGGTAGAAGTCATCATACCCTTTCTGGTAGTGCAATCTACTACCACAAGTGAAAGCGATGAAGTAACCGAAAAGTCTAATGGTGAAATCGTTGACCAGCCTCGAAATTTCAATAAAGCTGAGGTGATATCAACAATTTGCCCGATTCAGATCTATTTGGCTTCCCTACTAGTGACAGCTCTTCATCGAATCAGCACCCTTGGCTTCGATTCAACGATAGTCGAAAGCATGTTTAAGCGTCGAATGAAAAATATCATCGCTTTATTGCAGAGTGCATATAATGTAAGATGCACTGCATCGTTATTGACAGATGACACAGGTGACGCGCCCTCCTCCTCTTCCTCTACCTATTCTGTGAATGGGTATTACCAGGTAGCTGTGTGCGTTGTATACTTATCCTTAATCGGCGGGCTTTTCCGAGGCAACGACGCGTGCAAGAGGCTGGTGACCTCAGGCTACGGGCACGAGTTCAGCACCGTGTGGACTTTCACGGCCTCTAGGCTATCTCATATGAAGTTGGAATTGATTGTGCCCGCGCCGACGCCGAAGGACAGCGTGGTTACCCTTGACGCCGTCCAGGTGTGGCAGTCGGAATTACTTGAGTTGGTGATTGAGTTGTGTTCTGAGGATAGCTTCTCTCTGCGGCGGATGACCCTGAGTGAATCTTTGGATAGTGAGCGTTTGTGTGGCGCTGGAAGCCCTCGTGGGAACGATGCTGTAGGCTCATCTCATATAACGGGGATGACTCCCAAAGGGGTCGGAGCTGGCTTCCAAGTCACGGGCCAGTGCCACTACAACCCGATTCCCCTCTGCTGGGATACCATTCTGGCGGGAGGCTCGCGTTGGGTGTGGAAATTAGCTTCTTCTGTATCCTGTTGTTTATTTACGTCAAGGGGCACTGATGTACTAGAACTTTGCCTGTTAGGCCTGGAAACAAGCAACGCTTTGGCTGAGTCCATGCTCCGGTGCTTTATCTTCACTATGGCGCTCATGTGCTTCGCTAATCCATACAATGCTAAACGTTTGGCGGAGCGACAGATGTTTGAATGCCTCTTTGCGGTCGCCACAAATAGGCAGGATAGCATCTTTATGAATACCGTACGTATGAACGTGTCCAAAGGCGGCCAAGTATCTGACGGCATTGATAACTGCACTGTTGTTTCTCCTGCCCCTACGGAGCCGACAGCCAACACGATACAGTTAGTGGTGTCCTTTATGTGCTCTCTCGCGTCGTTGTGTTTTCCAAAACGCATTTTGCATCTTCTTATGGAAGGTGTTAAGGACATGTCGAGGGTCCCGTTCTGTCAAACTGACATCCTCATCGAGGAATCGTTGCTGTATGTGTTAAGTCATACGTACGTTCCCCCCTGTGTGCTTTTTTTCCCAGGGAATGGTAGCATTAGGTGCAAGCTGAGTCAGTTCGTTGGAAGGTGGTCCGGCTACAGCTTCTCTGCGTGGATTCATCCGCTCTGTGTGTGGACAGAGGGATGTCATCTTTTTTCTTATACCCTCAGCTCAGGCACCTCAGTTGCGATCAGCGTAGTGGCCAACGGGCGCTCTTGCTTCCTCGCAGTGCGGGTGAACACGTTGAAGGAATCTACAGTGACTTTGGTACCTGAGAGCACCTTCTATGCGGAGACATGGTCGCATATTGCCTTGACGCACGGCCTTTCTGCGATGTTTTTTTATGTTAATGGCCGGAAGTTAAACACAGGCTTCAGTGTTCCATTCCCAAAGGATCATTTTGAGCGGCACAAGCTTGACCTCGCCTTTGGTGGAGCCACGGAGGACCCCTCTTTTTTTGGTTATGTGACCAGCATGAACCTTCTAGAAGGTGCCATCAGCGAAAAGGACATTATGAAGCTTTACGCACAGGGACCCAGCACGATTGAGGGGAGCGAATTTCGTGTTCTGCTTTCTGTGGGTGCAACCACACCTTTTGATCGATCTAACAGCGAGCGAATCTTCACAAGCATCACGGATTCGACGGTCGAATCGTGTGCCCACATAAAAGGAAGCCTTTCTAGCAAGTGTGATAGTATTTCAGTTTACAGTGTCTATTCAGTCATGACATGTTCTGTGCAAGAAGAGATACAGGACTGTGATATACTACCATGGGCGCTCCAAACCCTGAAGGAGTCCCATGAATCTCCTAATTTTTTTGCTATCGCGAAACTATGTCTTGAATTCGTCTCCGTGGCCATGCGCACAACAAACACTGATGCCGAGCTCAATGCCATCCTAAAAGATTCATATCTAGCCGAGTTAAATAGTGAAATACTAACCTGGTCCGACACGTTTTCAGACTTCCCTGCGATTTTGCTCCTGGGGGCAACCCTCCGTGGTAGCTGCCGGACCCTTCGTCCGCATCAAAGCACGCAAGCCATTTTTTCCATTTTGATGGAACGCCTTGAAGTGGTGTGTCGCGCCAAGGAAGGGGACTACATTGTGCGCAACCCTTCCTCCGTTGCGATCATCTTGCGTGAATTAAGTGACTACTTGTCGGATAGTGAAAATGTAAAACTTTTCAAAGAAGTCTCTAGGCGATTTAAGCGCATCCTTTTTATGAGTCTAGATCTCCCCCCAGAGTGTATTGAAGCCGTTGTTGTCCTCATTGAGAAGTTGTGCAAGGGGGTTCCAGAGCTAGAGCACACATTACGTTTTTTGCTGCTCCCTCAGCCATTCTGTCCTAATGCGGATGCCACCAAGGCTGGGATCCTCCGCATGCTGTTTGACGTTGCGAGAACCAATGTGATGATGTGTGATTGGATTGGATCCTGCTTTAAGGGCCGTGGTGCCTCCTTCCTTATCATGTTAGTTCATGGGAAGAACCACTCCAGCGAGGCCATTCGAATATTTTCTTTGCGCTTGCTCTCTCTGATGTTGCATGTTAACCGCAAGTTTCGCGAGACTTTTATCAAGTCCAACAAATTTGAGGTCATTTCCTGTGCTATCACTGATCAAACGTCGACTGTGCCAATACGCCTCCCCACGTTGGATTGCCTGTTTCATATGGCCTTTGACGAATATCTCCCGACGGAATCTTCGAATGAAAACATCGTGTCGTGCTTCAACTCAAACAATTTGAGAACCCGCACCTCCTCAGGGGTGGGCGTGGAGAATTCCGTGAATCTCCTGAATGGCGTTCAAAAGAGCCTGAATCTGACAGGTCATTCCCCAGGACTCTTCTCCAGGCGTCTCAAAGTTACTCACCGCGAGTATAGCTTCGACGTCGCACACGACTTTGGTAAGTCCGCCTTCTCTCTGCAATTCGCTGACTCTTACTGCAGCAAGTCTACCCCGAACACCAGTCTTTGCATGCCCCAGGCCTTCAAAGCAGCACTTCAGGTTCTTGGCTGCCTCATTACCACAATCGGCAACACCTTCCATACGTCGCGGACCAGTGGCTCCGAGAATGATTCAATCGATGCCAGTGGTGCTACAGTTCAAGAGGGCACCCTTTCACCCACCTTCTTAGCATCTTCATATGGAGATGAGGTTTCAGAGCGAGTCGTGGTGCGGGTGCTGCACTACTTAGAAAAGATAATTGATATTAACCAAAATGGAGTAGCATTGCTCCTCTGCCCTTGGTTGGAGTGGTTTTGGAATGCGATTAGCCCTGTCATCAGTTATAGGCGGTCCCACTCAGAGGGTAGCCCTCTCGGCGCAAACGCAAACGCTTACTGGACGAAAAAGTTTCCGTCGACTGTTATAACTCATGCCCGGTATATCATACGGAAGTTGCTGGTGTTGGATATCACGCGCAATAGCAAGGCCGCCATGCTTCGGCGTATTCGTGAGAGCGGCACGCAGTTTCCATACTTGATACGAATCATACTCGAGGAGGTGTTACGACACTTTTCTAAATGTGGGCTGTCAGATCCAGACCATGCTAGCAATGTTATAAAAAATATTAACTATTTGCTTCTAAACGTTGAGCACATGTTAGATCCCTTCCCGATAGCTCTAGGAGTAGAAATCGTTGTTTCCATCAGTGCCATTGCCATACGTAACAACTCCTGGGTTCGAATGCGCATGAAGAATTCAACGCAGCTCTTTGATACGCGTGACCGCCTCGCGTTTTACCTGTTGGCAACATCTAAGCACTACTTCAAGGTGGATATCGAGCTCCTTGTGCAGTTGATCGATGCGAATGCCCACAACCCTAATTCTATGTGCCTCCTCCTCCAACGCTTCACCCGCGCCATTAACCAAAAAGATGTCGATGAACTTGAGATTATTCTGCAGATGATACGTCATTTGGTCATTAAATATGAAGATCAGCATTGGGAGGTGTATAAGTTGCTAGGCACCACTTGTACGAGGCTTGCAGAGTTGTTGTGCATGGCGGCGGAGAATGATGGTTCATCCCCTCGACCTCAGGCCGTGCATCCTAAACTCGACCACATGGGATCCCCACAGCCGTGCGATGCGAACACCCGTTCTCGCACGGATGCGGCCATGAACTACCCTCCATTAGGCCCTGGAGCCCATCGTGATCCGAAATACAACGAGCCCATCGGAAATGACCTGCCGGTGATGCAGATTATCGAGTGGTGTCGAACCCATGAGGTGGAATGGATCAGCTTAACACAGCAGCTGGAGCAGAAAGTGGCAAAAATCATGGATATACTGCTCAAGTCGAGTCGAGATCGATGCGAAAAGGAAAAAGCTTTAGTGTTGAAGGCGTCTCGCGCCCAGAAAGAGCGTAGGGAACGAGCTAAGAGCAATGCATTAGAAGAGCTAAAGTCGATACGCAACGAAGTAGAAGCTGAGCTGTCGGTCTAAGCATTAAAAAACAGCAAAATGGGAAACACATTATAATATTTAAAACGCGTTAGACAATCTAGCAGCTAGAATCCGCTAACAAATAAATAGAATGTCATATTTTTGTATTGTCTTGTTGGCTTGACGCTTTCCAATTTTATTGTATCCGGGTTTTGTGGAACATACCAAAAGATATGCACACACATATTTCAATAGAGATGATCTACGCTAAAGGGTTTTCTTTGTCTATAATATTAAACCATGAAAAGTAATCAGGGCAATGTATTTTTTTTAAAAGAATGACCGTTGTCCAGCGAAATCAAATCTGTTTAGGTTATTTGTGTTTGCGACGTTTCTTTGAAGTTTTACTCTTTATTATTGACCTTCACGGGAAAATATTTTGACCATTTCTCAAGCGCCTCATTGTCGTCCTCGAATGAATTAACTATATAAATCAATAAATATATATAGATATATATATTTAAATGTGTGTGTCTGTCTCTCATTTTTTGCAGCTCTATTCAACACTCCCTATCATTTTCCGTGCCACTTCCTGAAAAGTGACAAAAGTGATAGGGCTTTTTATTTTTCAAGTAGAAAAATATCAAACCCTCCTTTGCTCTTTACCTATTTTTTTCTCACAGAGCTTCATGCAAATAGTTTTAGAGGACTCGGTGCTGTACGTACCAGTATCAACATGCCTATGGATGTGCATTTTTTTCATCCTGGTTCGCGTGGTCTCGAGCCTGGGATGCTTAGTCTCCTACCGTAAGATAGCGTTCGGTGGCACATGGATGTTTCGTATCCAGGTAGCAATTATGGTACTGTTGTTGGCCTGCCACGCGGACAGTGGACTCCTTGCATTTCTTTCCTTAATTTCCTTTATGGTTGCACTTTTAGTATGCAAATGCATGCGCAGTTTTTTTAGCGTGTTCGTCCTTACCTTCATGGTTCTGAGCATGTCTTCAACCCCGCTGCTTTCGTACTCTACTACGGTTCGCGCAAGCTCGCCTAGTCAGGGTAGTAAACAACGTAATGTTTGTTCTTTGTATAACGGAGAAAACATACAACTGAGGGTGGGTGTCAACGACTTTCAAGAGCACTGGCCCTGGTCAATGTACGTCTTTCACACGGACTTCTGTCTTGTTAACAATATCCCATCGCAGTCGCTCGTTCCTCCTCCTGAAGGCAAGCTCTCCATGCACAAGGGCGCAAGACTGCGGCAAGTGATTTCCGTCGGGGAGCGCACACGAATAGCAGGTTTGGAAGGATTTCAAACTCTAGTGTTGGTAGGTGAAGGGAGCTCCATTGAGCACAGCGTCCTCCAGTGCGAGTTTGATGCTGACAAGCACGAGAACGCGACAGATGTGTTGCCTTGTTTTGTTGGTAATCCTCAGCTAAGGGCAATCAATTTAACAATACAGTTTCAGATAAAACTGCGCGACGTGATCCTCGTTCGCTCATTTCACGTTTCAAAAGCTGAAACCTGTGATGAGTTAATTCAACAATTCGTTTCACTACGTGATGAGGAAAAGGAAAATGTATTCCTAGTTGACTTACTCTCTCCATTAATTCGCTGTCGAGGCCCTGAGATCAGTGTTAATGCCTTTCTGAAAGGGATTCCTCTTTCATCTGATTTTTATGCAGCCATGCCGCTTTCAATAGCACTACGTATGCGATTGCCACAATTTATTCGCATGGTACAATCTTATTGCACCTATTTCCTAGAGTATGTTGGTATCCCCGCAGTAAATGTGATCCTTAAAGTTGTTAGTATACTGGACAGGCTTTGGAGGCAGCTCGCCGTTTGGATCACCACCACAAGCAAGGCATCGCTTCCTTATCTGTTTTTAGGTTTTCGGCTGTTGAAATGTACTTTTAAGGGTTTTTTCTATCGATCAAGCGCATATGAGTGTGAAGGCAGCAATACGGATTGTAATAATAGTACCACAGAGATGGGCTTTTTCGTTGGAGTTTATTTACGGGAGGGTCTTGTCATGATTCTTTCGTCGGCTTCGGATGCCCTCACAGTGGTGCCAGGCTTGTACACCATTATCCATTGGTCGGTAGATGTGGAATGGGTCATTACGAAAACGCTGATTCGTGTCGTTCTTCAGGGGATAAATCGCATGGCCACGGGTGTTCTATGCCCTGTAGTTCAGCGCATGTGGCGTCTACTCGAGACTTTATGCGTCAGTCTTGGTCCACTCTTAGCGATGCTAAGTAGTCTGATGCGCCGTGCATACGTTGTTATTTTCCTTAGAGATACATATCGCTGGTTGTATGAGCAAGAATTGCGTCTGATCAATCTGGAGCTCCGCATAATAACCCTTTCGATGTCGCACGCCGCCTGGGTGCTTGTTTTTGTCATTCGATCCTCAGGCCAAATCTTTGCCAAATCATGTCGTCATGGCATACTTGTTATGAAGTGGTATAGTTCAACATCTCTCTTCATTCACTTCCTCCTCTTCGTTATGCAGACTGTCATTCTGTTCGTTGCTCTTCGAAACGAAATTCGTAGTTTGATTGAATATCAGTTCACCACCGAAGAGAATGAGAAGTCTGTGAAAGGCTCCAACCGTGGAATCGCGACTAACAGTGGCGGGATGTGGCCCTTAGCAAAGACCTTGACGAAATTCCGAACGTATCAAAAGTTCAAGTTCGTCAACGGAATCACCCTGTTAGCGAAATCCCATTATCAAGCCTTCATGGCCTACATTCTTCATCACAGCGTTTTGGGGCTTCTACTAGTCGGGCTCTCTGTGCTCCCTTTCACAAGCAGGTTCTACGTCCTCACACTCCAAGTCGCGTTCCCATGGCTGTCTTCGAAGCTCTTTTTGAACTTTTTTGTCTCTAAGCCGTCGCGCTCTCAGGTAACAATGATGTTTGGAGCTAGACTTGTTTTCGCACTTTTTCTCGAATGCACTATCGGCGACCTCATGCGCCGGATTCTGAAAGAAGTATTCTTCCTACTCATATGCTCTACTTGCATTCTCCTGGGCTTGTGGATCTGGAAACATCACCGTTCCCTGTTACGGCAAATCGCTGCCGTATCGGAAAAAATATTTAGTGCCGCACCAGTGCAAGCCGCTGTGGTGCCACTGTGGCGTAGTGAAGGCTCTATTATGGAAGAAGAGCACACTTCGAATCACACGAGGGTTACACGAGGGGAAGCCAAGGAAGACACCCATGTGGAAAAAGGCAAGACGAGTGGCGAAAGTTGAAGAATGTATGGTGACGTGAGATTATATACTATCAAATGTTGGAGCTCGTGTTTCTAATCAGCGGAGGTAACATCTTTCCTAAATGGAAAAATAATAAAGTATGTGTCTTAAAGAAAGGAGAGACATAAAATTTGTTATATTCAAGGTATTGATAATATCTTACTACAGATTTAAACATAGTCTATGTTATTTTTCTTAAACTTCTTCTCTTTCTTTTTTAGCACTGTATCATTTTGTATATATTAATTAAATCAAAAAGCTGTGCTCCAGTCTTTGTATCGGAGCGTCACACTCCTTACAGAGTAGGTGAAGGTTGAATTTCCTTTGACGTTAATTCGCTTTGCCTTTTTTTTTGGTCTGTCCTTTCTTTCTCTTTCCTTTCCTTTGATTTATATTCATACACACACCTATGAAAACATCAAGGAAGCATTATTACTATATTACGATTGCAAAATATCGAAAGTGTAGAGGGACTAGTCTCTATGGATACTGTTCCTGTTCCAGATTCCCTGGTGCCGATCATAGCAGCACTTCACAATGTATTTGTTCAGCTGCAGCGGCAGCGTCTTGAGGGCTGGACTGCCTCACTGGATAACTCTCTGAGCTCGTGGAGCGAGCTGTACAGGAGGCAGGCGGCGCCGCTCGGCGACGCCCTTGTCGATCGAATCTGGGGCCTGGTTTCGTCTGTTTTGCAGATACTTGAAAACAACGGGTCTTCAAATGTGAACGCGAGCACCGCAGTAGTTGAGTGGTATTGGGACCATATGTTAGACAAGGCCTACATCAAGGATAAAATTATGGAGCTTCGAGAGGCAGTGTTTGATGATCTTTCCGATAATGAAATCGAGGAAGTCGGAATGTTTTACTTGGACATGATCGAGAGGGTCTTTTTTTCCGGGAAGTTTCTAGCCGCATCTTCTTTAATCGAGGCCCTTATGGGTGTGCTTCGTGGGTATGGCGAAGACGACAGCAAAAATCCTTTTTCGGTAGAAGTCGAAGAGTGCATGGCAGATGTTCGGCGACTTTTGTCTGTATCCTTTAGTGATCCGGATAGCTTTGAAATGTGGCGAGAGGATGCCAACCGCCAGGTGTACGCGGCGCGCCGCGTACTGGGGGATGCTGATCCCAACACAGAGCTATCTTCACGCAAGTTGGTTGCACAAAGCTTGTGTGCTATCTCGTTAAATATGCTCATGATCATCAGTGGTGATTCGCAACTAATGCAGGAGCGCTGCATTGAACATGACTACACCTTTTCAGACTACATTACCGCACTGTGTGCCATCATAAAGCCATTTTGGACCTTATCTGAGCTGCGTGATGCGCTTGAAACGTTAGAAGACACCTGGCAAATGAAGGGCTCTGAAGTGGAGTGGGACTACGTGATTATGCGCGAACTTTTCCACGCAGAGCATGTTGATGATATAGTGTATGCTATGCGGGCAATCGGTTCGGAGGTTGTGGCTCGTGTCCCATGGGATCGGTTGGAGATTGACAATGTTGACGCCGCCACCGAAGGGGAAGTGGACGATAATGAAGAGTGTGAGATTGTCAGTTTGCCACAGGCCAGTGCCTCCTCAACCCGCCACTTCGCACTGTTCTCTATGGCTGCCCACATAGCTGATCTTTGTACCGTTTCTTTTGACGCATCCCCAGAGAAAATTGAGCTCATGTTCGCTCGAAACGATCTTCTGACGTCCTATGTCAAGCTATTTTCCTACAATCCCTTAACGTGGAAAGTCGCGGGAACTTACTTGACGCATTTGCCCCTTCTGAATCCTAAGGAACTGCATAATCTGGTGCAGTACGCAGCCCGGTGGGCCGCCGTGGATCAGAGTTTTTACCACAGCCTTGTTGCATTCTGCCACACCATGTGGGACCCCTCCAGTCCCCATCAGGCGTTGCTGCGCCGGCATCTCAAGGACCGGTTGGGGGAGCACCCCACTGTGCAGCAGTGGCTGGACGCGCTGGATTTTGAGAGGGTTACCACCATGAAGAAGGTACATGCTGTCATCATCGCCAAACGAATTGAGCTCTGTGATATCGTTACGGCGGCTTGGTATGCCGTGGAGACCGATGCCCCACACCCGCTGGAGTTCAAATTAAAGCAGCTTCTCAGAGCCCCCACGGCTTTGACCGATGACCAGCTATGTTCTGTAGGCGCTGCGGTCCACAACTCCTTCATTCAGTTGGACACCTGTGCGACAGCCGAAATGGCGCACTCTCTGTTGGCCTGCGCGGGCCTTTTCACGTACCGCCGCGCCGCGGAAGCCTCCAGGGCCGCTCAGTCGTCTTTGCCTCAGACCCCAGCAGCGGCTCTTGAGCGCCAAAGACTCCGTGCGGAGTGCATCGATAAGATTGGCATCGCGCTTCGCCGCATCAACGCGTGCGACTTTGCGTTTCACCCCTCCACTATTGTAACTCTCGTTGAGCACGCCGTGGACTTACTCATATCAATGCAAAAGGAGGGACTTGGGAAGGATTTGCCGCGCTGCGCGCAGCTGGCAGGACGGGTACTGCCCTCCCTGTTGCGCGACCTCTCGACTTCATGTGTTCATCATGGGCAACGTTTGTCAAAGGAGCTACTGCATCGCTCACATATGGTTCGAGAAAAACTGGTGTGTACTCTAGAAATGCTTCCAGAATAAATTTCGAATCCCTTGAAGGGGCCCCTTCCCCTCTCTCTTGTTCCCTTTTTCCTTTTGTGGCCCCAAAGTGTATGTGTGGCGAGGGTTGTGTTCTACCCCAGTCGTGGGCCAAAAATAAAAACCCAAACAGTTGCAAGTTGTTGTTAAGGTTGGCAAAAGAAAACGATAGAGTCTCTTATTATTAAGGAAAACTAAAATAAATATTTCCTTTCTATCTTCACTTTTTGCCCTTTGTCATCGCACGCTTTCTTTTTTTTTATCTTCAATTCAATGCGATATATCAGATTCGCTGTTTTATATTTATACTCTTTCCTCGCTCTATCGTTAGTTTATTTTTGTACTTCGATTAATAAAGGATCCTAATACTCCTATTAACTGTCTGTTATTAGGTGTTCTAAGGGAGTGGTTTTTTTTGTGGATATACGAACTCTAGTTTTCTTCTAAGGATGGACTTAATCGATGGACTTCTCTCTGTGGCAGTAGGGAGCTTGGGAAGTGTGTTGTTTCCTATGCTTTCTAATGGTCTCGTCAAAGTTCCGCGACCCAAACCTATTGATATCCAACATGCTCGTCATCAAGCGTTAAGTGTCCGCCCATATGTTCCCTATCATTTTCCTACCTGCTACAATGGTGGTCGCGTGCGGGCACTGTTAATTGGCATCAACTACTTTGGAACTGAAGGCCAACTCTCTGGGTGCATCAATGATGTGATTAATATGCTGAAAACTCTGGAGCGTATTCAATTCCCTATTACTGAATGCTGTATCCTTGTGGATGACCCCAAGTTTAAAGGGTCGATGGGCTATCCTACCAGGGAGAATATAATTAAGTATATGGCCTGGTTGACTAATGATGTTCGTCCTGGTGATGTACTTTTCTTTCACTACTCCGGTCATGGTGGTCAATGTGATGGCGGAAGTGATACCTGTGAGGAGCATGATCAGTGTCTCATTCCTGTTGACTTCAATACCATGGGCAGTATTCTGGATGATGATCTTTTCCGTATCTTAGTCAGCCCTTTACCTCCCGGGTGCCGAATGACGTGCATCTTTGACTGTTGTCATTCGGCCTCAATGCTTGATTTACCTTTTAGCTTCGTTATGACAAGGGACATGAGCTCAGGGCGTCAGGGATACACGATGAAGTGCATGCGTAACAATAACTTCAGCCAAGGGGACGTCGTCATGTTCAGTGGCTGTGAGGACTCTGGAACCAGTAGTGATGTACAAAACCCAGGGAGTGCCGCCGGCGGCGCCGCAACCCAAGCTTTTTGTTGGGCTCTGCTTAACACAGCGGGCCTTAACTTCATGAACATCCTTTGTAAAGCACGGGATCTTTTGAAGAGTAAAGGTTTCAAGCAAATACCTCAACTTACAAGCTCGAAACCCATTGACTTGTACAAGACCTTTTCTCTTTTTGGGCCTATCGAAGTTAATCAGCATCAAATGGCACTAATGCCACAACAATTACCACCCCCACAGCAATACCCACCCCCACGAGTATACACATCAATGCATCGAGAATACCCACCAACGCAACAACAGTATCCACCCCCGCAGCAGTATCCACCCCCGCAGCAGTATCCACCCCCGCAGCAGTATCCACCCACACAACAGTATCCACCCACACAACAGTATCCACCCCCGCAGCAGTATCCACCCACACAACAGTATCCACCCACACAACAGTATCCACCCACACAACAGTATCCACCCCCGCAGCAGTATCCACCCCCACAGCAATTTCAATCGATGCAAGGCAATTCATATCATCCCCCAGCGCAGAATGCTTCTAATCAAGCTCCAGATAAAAAGAAGCCTAAACCAAAGGCATCGCAGTACCCTTTTCAGTGGTACAATAGTAAATAAAGACATACTATATCAAAACTTGAAGTCAAATTACAGTAAGCATATTCGCCAATGACATATTATTCTTCATTGCATTATAGTTTCACACCATTTTTGACAAATTTTGGGTATATATTTTTTCCATCTTTGCATCAAATAACTGCATAGCTTGTTACCCGAGGTACCATGGGCAATGGCGATAACCGAACTCCAATAAATAAATTTTGGGGCTTTAAGATCTGAATAAATGAAGAGTGAGGAACGAATTACGGTTGTAATTAGTTCTATCTACTTTTTTGCAAACAAAACCTACACTTTTTTCTCTGCAAATGCGTAGCATGGTAGAATAATAGCTTCGTGATGGTTTAGCAACCTGATAAAAGCTAGAAATGAAGAGTGTATTGAGCTTACAGAAGTCTTGGGCGTATATAGTTATAATTTTATAATATTCAATCGTATTTGGAAATAAATGAAAAGTGTATGCGTGTAAATTTCAGGAAAGTTTTTGTTTCAAGTCATTCGTTTTCTAAGGGTAGAAAAAAAGTTGAAAAATATTCATGAGATAATTAATTTTTATACAATGTATTCAGGACATAGTCCTCAACAAGGATTTTTATTTATTCATGTGATTTTTCTCCTAAATTAAGATGCTTGAGTGATATTTGGTTATCAACTTTCATATTTATTTCTTCTAGATTAGTGAATAATATGTGAATCAATTTCACTCAAGGAGTGAATGAAAAAATACTCTTTTAATATGCATGTGTAGCATGGTTTTTGCTTCTCTTCCTTTATATTATATCCCATTACTATTTTCATTCTGATATATGTTTGGCATCACACTTTTAGTGAAAAAGAAAAGACGTTTTCTTGTTTACCAGCAGCCATTTTTCCGACTTGCACAGTTACTACGTCTGATTTTATTATTTCACTTTGCATGGCATGGTATAGCTGTACGGATCATTCCCACATTGCCCTGCTTGGATCTTCTATATCAACCAAAGAGTGGTCGAGGGCAGTGGTGTCTGCAGAAGCATCTAGAGCTCGGATTTGCTTAACCTGCTTCCTATATCATATCCCTTCAATGCCCCACATCGAGCTCCTGACAAATGTAAAACTGCTAACCGAGCTTCTTTGGCAATACCATGTGTCAAGAGAAGATACAGATGAATTGCACTCCTCCTCTCACGGGGCTTTTGCAAAGCTTCGGCACCGCTTTTTCTCCTTCGCGAAATTACTCCTCGAAGTGATGGAGGCCCTCGTGCAGCGCGTCTGTGGACTCAGTCGTGACAAGCAGATCGCTGCACTGACAACATGTCTAAAAAAGATGATTGTTGATTTCGCGACGCTTCTGACAACGTTTCAGGAACCCGCATCTGCACCGCGTCCGAGGCCGTCCTTCGAGACCTCAAAAGTGACTATATTTGGTGTCTGTAGTAACGAAGAGCCTTTGTTAGACGATTACGATCCATATATTAAAGGGGCTCAACAATACTACGCATCCAAGTGTACACTTTCCCATCTCGCCGGCATGCTGGTAAAACTCCTGCAGAACATGTTATCTAAGGTTGAAAATGTAGAGGTATACTATTGTCTGCTGCTGCTTTCTGATGTGTATGAGTCCTGCGCAGTTTTGAGAGCCGCTTCTTGCGATTATGTAGTGGACTTCTTGAGGCTATACACCACTGAAGCGCTTGCGCGCCAGAGCAGCCACACCCTAGAGGTGTACCTATATCTCCTGCATCAGCTGTTTGCGGAGTCTCGGCAGCGTCCTGACTTGCTTGAGAATCTATCTAAAAACTTCCGATCATTGTCGCCTCCTCTTTCAAAAGAGCATGGAGACCTTTTACCTCCGCAACTTCCTGTCTTTATCTCCAGCTTCTGCGCCACGATTGAGAGGCACTCTGAAGCTCAAATAACGATCCGAAACGCACTAAGTTTGATGCATTTTGTCGTTTCTCTGGAAACCACTTCGGAGGTAGTTTTTGGTGATCCCGATGATCCTGTTTGCATGCTCGCAGCAGAATCCACTCTTCATCATGTGGCTCCCTTGATTCTTCATCCCAGCGCGGAAGTGGGGTTGCTTGCCTGCGATACGGTTCGACTCCTGATGAAGAAGCAACCAGCACTTGGGATTTCAGCAGCCACACGGGAATGGGTAATGGATCTAGCATTAGAAGGAATCCAACTAGCCTCTAAATCATCCACGGTACCTCTCATCGGGCTTCTAAATACTCTTTGCGATGGGTGCAGCATTTGCCCTGGTGGGGAGGCAGCTTTCGAGCCAACAGCAAGTTCGAATCCAAATGTCTTAGTGTTCATTATTCAACTCGCCGGGTTCGCCAATGATGCGTTTCAGGAGGCAATAAACGGAAGCTTTCTTCAGGAATATCTCAAAAGAAACGCGGCAAATGTTGATACCTACGCCGAACAAATTCTGCACGCGTGCGGGGAACACTTATCATTACCCTTTCGAAGCTTTGCGCGATTACTCTACCTGGTGTCAGGGATGTCGACCGACGTGGTGGCCATCCGACCTGAGATCTCCTCGCTGCTGGTTCAACACTTCCTACGTCAGCTTGAGGTCGAGCTGGCGTCATCCCTGGGTCCCCCCTCCCCCTCCGTCCCCTGCAAAGGGGAGTCGTGGTCCACGCTTGAGGTGTTATTCGAGCGCAGCGACCGCGGTATTTTGAATTTGTTGGGCCATAGCGCATTTCGGGAGTTACTTCACACGGTCTGCTACTTCCTGCCGGTCTCGGATGAACTGCCCCCGTTGGCTGTTCAATTGCTCGTAGAAATGCGCCAGGACTTCTCGGATTGGCATGTCATGGGTCGGGTTGAGTCTCGTGAATGTGCCAAAACACTAAGCTTGGTACATGGTCTCATGCGCAAGTACAAGGTTTCCAAAGGCAGTTCTGATGTGGCTTGGTCTTGGTGGTGCTCTCACCTAGACACACTACTTCAGGAGGGCTTACTGGATTGGTTACTGCTCATGTCGGTTGGTCAGGAAGACGAGGACGTGGAGAGACAGCGTGGGAGCTTAATTCAATGTCTTTTGGGTGAGGACAAATGTGCCATTAACGAAGATATGACGCGTGGTGCTGCCTCGTGTAAGGAACTACTTTTGAGGGATGTCTCATCACATCGGATCAGCTACTTTCTTGTGTCTCTCGCGGTGCTTGGCTGTCCTACCCCCTTGGACAAGGATGAGATGAGCATGCTCCTTGCTGGAGAATTCTGTAGCCTGTTGCAACTTCTGGTTGATCAGCAAGCAGAGTTTTTGGGCGTTCTCGAGCAAACCCAGTCGGACTCAGGAACAGCAGAAGGTGTGTCAATGATAAGGTCGGACCTGAGTGCCATCATCGATACGCTTTCCAATGTTCTTCGGATAAGTGCAGCGTACTATAAATACTTCGGTTCCATCCCCATGGATTTATCGTTCGAGGCATCTGCAAAAACTTCAGACTCGGTGGATCGTGACAGCTCCTATGCTCTTATAGTGCGCTCTCCATATCTGCGCGCGGAGGTGCACCAACTCATGCTAATGCTGGACAGCGAGGCGTGTGCGCCACAACCACTGGAGGAGGGCCTTGCAGAATGTAACACGTGTGCAACATGTTTCAGTAATGGCCAACTTCTTGAAGAGCTTTTGCAGAGTACCCAGTTGGGCAGGCTTGCACTTCACATTCTCCTAGCGCTCCTCATCACGGGCTTGGAAGGCAAATTGATGGTGTGCCCCCTAAAGGTGGCGCTTTGGCACCGATGGCTAAGGGCGGCTGCTGCGTCGGACGCGGGCAACTCACTGTTTGATGCCTTCTTCCGATCCATGCGCGAGCTCCACCGAATTGATTCCACCAAACAAGCGAGTCTCCTGCGTCTACTTAATAGCTGGGTGTGTTCCATTGACTTAAGTAATTCAGCCCCTCTCCGGGTTTGTCTTTTAGAACGCCATGTTGTTCCTCACATTCTTACTGACCGCAGCCGGAGCTATTCGCGGGATGTGGGAAGTGACATGGCAATGCTCCTGATTAACACGCTTAGCCCGCTTCCACGTACGCAAAGTAGTACCTGCGACGTCGTCATTTTCAAGTGGAGTGTACACGCCCTTACCATGGCGTGGACCGCAGCTCATGACTGGCGGGACGAGCCATCTCAGGGTATGGACGCACTCGGTTCGGTTACCTTGGGCACCGAACCTCCCCTGCCTTTAAACATCCTTGTGTTGTTGCATCTTCTCCTGGAGCGGGCACACGGTCGAGAAATGTCTCGACGCTATGGTGAGGTTCTTTTGCCGGTATTGTTGAACATCCAGAGTACGGCAATGCGCCGGGATACGATAAACGGTGGTGTGAGAGGGTTTCATGCAGCCACCGCGGCACTGGTTTGTGGTTTGCTCAAGGATCGACTTGAGACAGATTCGACTCAAACTTTTAAAGTCAAGAGAATTAACGGGGAGGGCTCCTTTGCCTTGGCGACGGAGGCTCTGAGGAGGTGTTGGATCTGTCTGCAGATTCATCACTTTTGTGGGATTCTGCGTCGCGGATGTAAAGAAACTCAGGACTGGGAGGAAGGCGCGGCCCTGCTGCTACGTCTCAAGGCTCAGGTGGTGAGTGCATTTCAGTTCATTTTTCTCTCCCATACGGGCCCTGCAGGTGGTGATATGAGAGAAGCAGAATGTGCGTGTGATGCCACCGGTTGCTTAGACGATGAGTACCACGCGGCTCTCTGTCTTGTGAACTGGTGCATGGAACTTGTACTAGCGCGAGACACTGTATGGATGGAGCCCTCTTGCCATGTTATTTACGTGCTATTCAATCATTACCGCGCAACCCTGGCAACTTCTCAGGAAGCCCTTGCACTTTATCTGTTCTGCTTGAAATGTGGCCCCTCAATGCTATCCACTTCACAGTTGGGAGTGTTACTGTCGGCGCTTCTTTATGCGGCCCCTCATCTCCCGTGGTCCCAAAACGGAGACGCTGTGCACGAGCTCGTGCACCATTTTCTCACGACAGTGGACCTCACTGCTCTATCGGCTGGTTTAGCGTGTAGTCAACTCCCACGGGGTACTAAAGCGGAAGAGGTGTTAGCCACAGTTGGTGACGCTAGTGCCACGGCCAAGATGTACAAGGGGCTCAGCAACGCATGTCGCTATTACGCACAAGCCATCCCTCAGGCTCAGCCGCTCTCTTTGCATCGGTTGACTGATTTCCTCGCCGTCCTATCATCTGGTGCGGAAGGATCCTCACCTGTGCACTTATTCGTGCAAAATAAGGAGAATGTTGATTTATTTTCAGAACACATCCCTCTTTAATTTTTTAAACCTTTTCTTTTTCGTTATTTCCTGCTATCGTTTCTTTCGTCTGCTAGAGTAAATTCTTTCATACACATCCCTCTCCTCCTGGATGTTATTAAGGAACTTATTCGTTTCATGGAAGGTTACATATTCCCCTCTCCAATGCATTTCCAGCAGTTGCTAATAAATACTCCTCCATATTGTTCCTTTTTTTTGCATTTTTTTTCCTTAATTCTTGTCGCTACAGTAGTTCCATTATGCGATCTACTTCTTCAAAGGCACTCGGGTGAATTAAATCATTGAATATTCATCCTGTATTACTTTTTCCTTATCTGTTTAGGTAAAGAAACTACGTACTCACTCTTAGACGAAGCGAAGTACAATGAGCCTTCTCCGGCTAACGCGATGTTTGGCATCCCTTGCACGGATCCTACCGGGAAGGCTAAGCACGAACCTTAGAAAACACTCCAAACCGCGTCGTAGCCGTTCCGAATCCACTTTATCATCGTCGAATGCTGTAGAGGTTGATAAGCAGAAGTCAGCGGAGGGTGTACTTCTCAATTTTTACCGTCTTTTAAATGACGCCACAACATCCACGCATCCATTGGCTTTCATGAAGTTACACGCGGCGGCGGGCGCTGCAATGCGGCAGTGTCTGCAGTGCGGCAGCGCCGATGAGGCTCTTGCCGTATATCACACCCTCTGCAGTTGCGGCCTTGTCGAGCAAGCCTCATTGCCTGTCGAGGGGAATGCGGCGGAGGGACAGTTGAGCCTTGAGAAGATGGCTCTTGAGGCATTGCGGTGCATTCCGCACCGTGTGCGCAGAGGGGCTGTCGTCTCTCAGTTTGTGGTCGCGGAGGCAAGGGAGAAGCTGATTAAGGGACACTGGCAAAGCTATTCTCCAGGTTCGTCTAGCACTAGGAGGCCCCCATCTCCAGCGGCAGCGGAAGCCGCCACATTTGCTTTTAATATTACCAAAGGCGGAAAAATATCTGAAGTGGAGCGGTTCCGTATCGATCTTCACCGCAACATCCAGCTTTTATGCACTTCCAAGTATTCACAACTCCAAATCGGTCGGAATTTTTTGTTGAGAAAGTTGTACGACATCGGAGTCTCCGCGCGCCTGCAAGCAGAAATTGAGATTCAACCGATGTGTTTGCTTTCCGGTGGCGTATTGTGGCATCCCTTCGCCTACGCCACACCAACGATGCCATGGGCGCAACGTCTAAGCCACTTCGACGACTTGGGACCCTTTCCTGACTCCATCAAAACCCTGAGTGAGGCTCAAATGGAGGGGTTGGAGGCTGTGTGGGAATCAACGGCTTCCCTACGGCAACTGTCCCGTAACACTCTTATGTTTTTGACCTCGCTTGCCACTGAATGGGATCAGATCTTCCTAAGACGCGTCGCGGAGACGCTTATTTTGCCTGATCAGGCCCATAATGTCTTTCCTACATCGTATAATCGGCCCCAGACCTCACCAAGCACCGCCAGGCACGAGTCCACGAACGAGACAGACAAGGTTGACGCTCAAGGAAAAAAACATCTGCCTTCCAGAACAAAGTGGACAGACCCTGCATATGAGCTCTTTACATCTGTGGCCATGAATTCCCTAGAAGCTGCCCTCCGGAGGGCGGAGATCATTGTGAAGCGTCGGTTCCACCACGGTATCGTGGTCCCTGACGCGCTCTACATATTGCTCTACTCCAATCAATTGCAACAGATGGGGCGGCATCGTGAGATTGTTTTAACACATGGTGTTTTACTCGACCTTTTACACGTAGCTCTGCATCATTGTGACCCTCGTCGTTTCAACGCCAGGCGTGTATTGCGTGCCTTTATGCTGGCCACAACAACATCACTTACAAAGCGTAATTTTTCTAACTCACGACACGCATCTACTATGCCATTCTATCAGATGCATGATGGCGGGGTCACGGTGCTTGGTCTCCAAGATGAGTTGGCGCTGCTGGATGGCTGCCCAGAACGTTTCTACGTTGGCGAATCCGGACTTGCTGGGGACGCTTTGGGCGGCCTAGCGTACTCACAAGCACTTCAGCGAGCAGGGCAGCAAACCCATAGCCTCGGGCATCTTTCGGCAGTACTAGTGGCCAAACAACTCGAAAGAATGGTGAACATTCATCGCAAAGGTCTCAGCTTCGTGACCGCGATGAGGTCAGATAGTGAAACACAAAAGATGGGCCTTAGCCAGTTTGTAGATGATATCGTTAACTGCACTTTTCCCCAAATCCCTGAGACAGAAGACTGCGAAAATCAACGACCGCAACTTTTCAAGAATCAACCTCGTTCATACTGGTCTCGTAGCTCTGTGGTAGTTGCCACCACCAGCGCTAACACACGGTCATTGGCTTTTACATTAGGTATCAACACATTCCCACCAATTAGTGCGTCATAGTTTCTTTCCAATCTTCTCTTGAGGTATGCGCATTATTATTATTATTTTGTAGCATTGTAGTCTTTGAGGAACAAATGGAAGCCACAATCATCAACTGATATATATTTCAAGAGCAATAAGAAGCCCAATTTTCACTGATTCATATTTTGTATCGATCAAAATAATGACTATAATGTCTGTTTAATTTTTTTTTGATCATTTAATCTTTTTCTATAACACGTGAGCAAACAAAGTATGCAATCATGGGGGTCGCCTTTGCTTGCCAAATTCAAGACCCTAGAACAACTTTTGTTTTTTTCAAATCATGCACCCAACGAGAAGTTTAAAACGCAAGGCCCATTCATTAGAGGCGATTAAGCGCGAACGTGAGGGGTATCATTTGGATATTCGCACGCCACCGAGAAATAAGATCCACCGTGTGGATGGGGTAAGTGGTCCGACCACGCAGAAGGAGCTGGTCTCTGCGTCCCTAGCAGTTTGCAGTCCCCTACAACCCGGTTCACCTTCAAACCGGCATCTTCACATAGACAGAGGGGATTCCTCAACCTCTCTCTTTATCAGTCTTGGAAAGGCGGCTGTAAGTGTCACCCGCGGAGATTCGGGTAGACATACCCTGTTGTTCGTGCAGCCCTCCTTCTGGTTTACATGGCGGCCAGCCGATAAGACGAGCGGGCGGCTTAGTGAGGAAAATCCCACGGAGGTTGTGCTTGAGGAGAGGGTCCGACTCGGGGTCTTTCATGAGGAGGAATCAACGATCCACAGCATCCCCTATGAGTTTTGTCGCGCTATACATTCATCAGCTGAGAACAGGGGTCCTTCTCCGTGGAATGATGACGAAGAGCAGGGGAGTGGAAAGGAGCGATCAGGGGTGACGCCCACCACGGAGGCCGTAAGCACGGAGTTGTACTACTACGAAGCGTTACGGGTATCCAAGGCTTCCCACCTACCATCTCTAGAGTACGGTTTAGATTCTTTAAACTGGATTAGCGGGCTTACACCGACGCTTCTCGCGGAGTGTTTTGCGAAAATTCTTATGGAGGAGTGCTTTCTGAGGGGGGATATCAACCGGTATTCATTCTTGTACCGTGGCCGTCACTTACTCAGTGAAACTTGCCCCCGGTTGTTGTTCTCGAATTTGCTAACGCAATGTATGGCTGGTGGTCAAGATTCATGCCATCCTATACGAGTTTGTGTCTTTTGCAAATTTTGACATAGTAAAAGGGCACTCAAGACATCAATATTTACGCTGATTTCGTTCATTATGAGTGCTTCTGATAGTTTCTTTTCCTTAATTGGATACCAGCAGATTGTGTTTACTCTTAACTCCTTTTCGATGGGTGAAAATATGCATATCTTTCAAAATTAGCATTTCTCACGCCACAGGACATTCTTTTTCTCTTATCCTTCGTTGTTTCGGAAAAAAGTACGTCTCGGGACAAACACAGGAAAGGGGGGAATGTATTGCATTTCATGCTACTAACTAGAAAGAGCAATATCATGATATTTAATTTTGCGACCTCTTGATGACAATGACCCGATCGATCCTGCAGAGCTATATAGCTTTGATAAATTCACATTATCATTCTTTTTTTTTGTAAATTTATAGGAATCAAAATGAGGCTGTCGGTTTCATTTGTCGGCTTTCCTGCTGTTCTATTCCCATCTGTTGATCTTGTGGAATTGAATGAAAGGAAAAAATGTGCCAACAGAAATAGGACAGAGATAGTGTGTTCTTCTATCCTTTCATTTTTTCAGAAGCAAGGTATTGGGTTTCCCTCATCCTAATTCTTTTCCCCACCCCTTTCGGCATTTTCTTGTTTACTGAAACCATTTGCAAAAAGAGTACTTCACACTATCATTATTAGTAAATACGTTATCGAAGAGACGCATTTTCAAAGGGTTATTAAGAATATATAATAGTTCATAAAGGGTGTTCATAAACGAAAGCTTCACAGGGGCAAAAAAACAGAATGTCTGACGCAGTGCAGCAAATCGATCACAAATTCTTGGACCGACAGAGCCGGACCATTGGCACTTATGGCCTGGAAACCATGGCCAAGCTTATCTCTTTCAAGGTGCTCATTGTCGGCTGCGGTGCAGTCGGCATCGAAATCGCCAAAAATTTGTCATTGGCTGGTGTTCATACGATCCATCTATACGACCCCCGAAAAGCTACTCTAGCGGACATGGGTGTGAACTTCGCCGTGGGGGAGCACACCATCAAGGCAAATAAAACGCTTGCAGAGGCGTCCTGTGCGTATATCACAGAACTTAACCCCAACACACGCGTGCGGGTCGCTACCGAGTTAAGTGAAGCAGTTGTCGGGCAGAATATCGCACTTATCATCACCTCCGACGCCCCTGACCTCTCCACAGAAACACTTATTCATTGGGATCGTTTCTGCCGCAGCCATAAGCCTGTCATTTCTTTTATATTGGCATTGCAGACCGCCGCCGTAGGCTCGGTGTTTGTGGACCATGGCCCATCTTTTGTCGTGAACGACGTCGATGGTCGTTCGATGCTGCAGAAGTCCATTATGGAGATTGTTACGCTAATCGATAAGGCGGGCGATCGCTACAGTCGTATCCGCTTCGAAACTCCAGAAGGGCAGACCCCTGGCGCACTGCGGGACTACACTCAAATAAAACTCACGGATGTTGTTGGCCTCACGAAGCCAAACGGCGAGAGCGCGAACAACCGTGTGTTTGACGGGGTTGTATGTCTAACGGACCCACGAAACACGGTGCGTGTGTACCCGTCCTTTGATGACCAGGGATATGGCGCCTACGAAACGGGCGGCTTCTTCCACGAGGTGAAGGAGACCATCCCGCTTGCGTTTCGCTCCTTGCAGGAATGCCTACCAGCCCCGGGTGACTTTGTACAGGTCAGTCCAATGATGGACAACGCAGAGGAATCTCAGACTCATCTTTTTATCAACGCCCTGCTGCGCTTCGCGGATACGCACAAAGGTCGTCTCCCCGCTTTGCATAGTCAAGCGGACGCAGAGGACGTCGTCGTATTGGCACGCACTATCATCAAAGAAAACAGGGCCATGCCGAGGCCTAGCGTGAAGGAATCGCCTGTTCCTACCGCGCCAAAAAAGGCTGAGTTTCCCTTTAAGAAGCCTCCCCCGCAGCCACCGGTCCCTCTTGTTGTCGAGGAAATTAATGAAGATTCCATTCATAGACAATCAGTTATTGCGGCAGTCGAGCTACAGCCACTTGCGTCCTTTATCGGTGCCGTTGTCGCGCAGGAAGTTGTTAAAATAACGGGCAAGTACACACCCATTCACCAATGGTTTCATCTCTCAATGGAAGCTGTGCTTCCCGACTCACCAAACTATGGGGGCCCGGAGTTTAGTGCTCCAAACAGCCGCTACAGGAACCTTATCGCGATTTTTGGAAAGTCCTTCCACGAGAAGCTGTCGAACCTGAAGATCTTCCAGGTGGGTTGTGGGGCGTTGGGTTGTGAGAACCTCAAAAACTTTGCACTCTCCGGAATCGCCTGCGGCGAGCGCGGCTCTCTGATCGTCACCGACAACGACCGCATTGAGGTCTCCAACCTTAGCCGTCAGTTTCTGTTTCGAGAGGAGAACGTGGGACAGTCCAAGTCGGCCGCCGCAGGGGCCCGTACGCGGCAAATCAACTCACACGCGAAGGTCGATGCACGCCAGGATTTTATAGGCACGACCACCGAGCACCTCTACCCCGACACCTTCTGGCAGCAGCTGGACGTGGTGGTGAGCGCCCTAGACAACATGGAAGCGCGCCTGTATGTCGATCAACAGTGCGTGCGCTTCCACAAGGTGCTGGTGGAGTCGGGAACGATGGGCACCGGTGGGAATGTGGATATCATCGTACCAGGAAAGACGACTTCCTATGCGGACGGCGGCACGGCCGACCAGACAGGCGGCATCCCCATGTGCACGCTGCGTAACTTTCCTTATATTTACGACCATTGCATTGAGTGGGCGCGCGCCCAGTTTGACGATCTGTTCGTGTCGCCAATGAACGCTGCTAGTCAGATTGTGGAGGAGCCTGGAGCCTTCACCGCGCGCATCAAGGAGGAAATCGAGGCGGCGAAGAGCGACGGTGAGAGGCTGAGTCTGGTTGAAAAGCACCTTAGCCCTCTGAGGAGTCTCAAACAAACTCTTGAAATTTTGGCTCAAGGTCCCAGTATGTCGACCTGTATTCAAATGGCCCTCAGTACTATGTTTAAACTCTTCCGCGACCGCATCTACGACCTGCAAACGTGCTTTCCGAAAGACTCCAAGAAAAAAAATGGCGAGCCGTTTTGGTCCGGGCATCGTCGATACCCGCAAGCACTCGAGGTGGATCCTCACAATATCTTAAGCAGCCCGGATGTATTAAACTTCATCATCTCTGCGGCTAACCTGTATGCGTGTATGTTCGGCTTGCATCCGTTGAAACACGAGGCTCGGTACAACGACGAGCAAAACCGCTGGATGAAGCAGTATCGCACCAAGGACTGGTTGCAGTCAGAGCTTTCGGGTAAGAAGCTGCCCGAGTACGTTGCCAGAGAGGTTGAGGACCTTGATGAGGATGTCGCCGCAGAGGCGACGCCAATCGGCGAAGTCAGTCTGCCGCTGCAGGAAGCCAAGCTTCGAGCACTTCTGGATGAAGTGGTCGCTTTGGCTCGTGGGTGTTCGCATTCGAAGGCCGCTCCACTGGAGTTCGAGAAGGACGACGATGACAACTTCCAGATTGATTTTATCGCCGCGGCGAGCAACCTTCGTGCGGCTAACTACCACATCCCTCCCCAGGATCGAATGAAGGTGAAGATGGTTGCCGGGAAGATCATTCCCGCGGTGATGACCACTACCGCTGCTGTAACGGGACTTGTTTTAATCGAGCTTTTTAAGGTATTGCAGAATAAGGATGTGTCGACGTTACGAAACGGCATGCTTGATGTGGGTACCAACAACTACGTCCTTTTTGAACGAAACGCTCCAGTGCGGCATCGAACCAGGATTGTCTCGACATACCTCCCTGAGCAGGATATGACCTACAAGAAGAAGGTGATCTGCATCCCAGATGGGTTTACCAAGTACGACTCGATCAAGATCGATGTCTCTCCTTCCACCACCGTGCACGAGTTCGTGGAGAAGCTTTTAGAATCGCTGAACAGCACACTTCCCACGGATGCAGGATTTGAGTACGAAATTGATGGCCTCGGCGTGGGAAAAGGCCTTCTCTGGAACGGCCTCCCAACGCACCCTAATACTCACGCCTCTTTGATGTGTTTAATTGAGAAGCAAAAAGCTACTGAGATGGTGGGTGCAACTTTCTCGCACAACTTCTGGGAGGGCCGTACGCAATTCTTTGATCTCACCGTCATGGTCTCCGTAGACGATGGCGACGCCACTGTGGATGAGGAAGAAGTCGAAACGGCGCCCATCTGCCTTTGCATTAAACCATGATCTAATAAAGATGGAGATACCTAAGACTATGTATGCACTGAAAAAAGGAAAGAGTCACGATACTAACACATATCAAATTATCTATATTGATATATGATTCTATTTACGATTCATTCTAATCAAACAACTATAAAATTTTGATATCCTTTTTTCCATTGGGTTTCACAAATCTAGGGTTATTGTACCCAGGTATATGTAAGGGACAAACTCTTCAAAGATATTAAACCCTTTAGCGATGCTGAACATACATAAACAAAGAATGAAGTAAAGACTCTTTTCTGTGCTACAATAGCATAGCCCTTGATTATTTGAGTTATACACTTGTGTTCGGGTTGGAGAGGAAGGAAAAATCTCAAGCATTTTTTCCCCGAAGAAGGGAGAGGGGAGGGACAAGAGATAGAAAATGAAGGGAAGAAAGTGAAATGGTGCTTTGAAATGTTTGTTTTTATCCTCTCAGCTTGTTTTTTTTGTCTTATAAAGAAAGAATACAAGCAAAGATATTTAAACCGCTTTCAACAGCGCTTCTTGCGTACTTCGCCATTTAGTGAATAGCTGCTGCTGCTTGCCTTTATAGGAATAGTCTTTCGAATGTGTAGGGCGCATTTCTTTTCTATTCTAATCCTTACATTTCTTTTGGTGTCTCCAGGGATAATATCGGGAAACGTAGTGAATGCGTCCCCGCTAGCTCAATATATGGAAGAGCCGCTACTTAGGCAACGGAATGCGTTAAACGTATGCCCGGTGCCGACCTTACTATTTTGGCTGGGTGCGTCGGCTAAGGTATGGACAGAGCTACATTCATTTGGCTCCCCTGCAGAGGACGTTGGCGGAGTAGCTTTCTCGGACGAAACGTACTGGGATATGTATGATACGGAGGAAGAAGAGGAAGTGAAGCGAGCAACCCATACGAGCTTGCATCGAGGAATACCCACAAAGCTCACAGATCCATCCCATTTTCTTCGTCTATACGAACCTCGCCACACGCTGGCGTTACTGTCCCTTTTACCTGAAATAGAATTATGGTTAAGAGCGAATCGAAGCATTGGCATGCATCCATTTGCCTACCAGCACGTCATTTCGAAGATAGAAGCCTTCACGAATGTGTCAATTACATCCCTTGTAAAACCCATGGATGCTAATTTCAGTGCCGAAGGGTTGAGTTCATTTCATAACAAAACAGAGGAAGCAGGTTGTGAAAGCGTGGAGATGTGCTTCTGGAAGAAGATCGCGCCACTCTATGCACAACACGCCCGCAATGTTCTCTCACGGATGCCCTGGCTAATTGTGAATAATTCTGTCTTCCAGGAGGCGCTTTCGGCGTATGAGACTCGGGTCTATCGTGGAACCATCATCCGGTCTTTTACGTTCGTCACGTCCTCGGAGGCCCGCGTCGAGCGTCTCCTGCGGCTTGTGCAGTGCCTGTGGGATCGTGTAGATCGGAGGCTTTCGTGGCGACCACCGCCGCCACTTCTTCCCTGGATCGATTTGGACAAGGTTATCGGACCGCCTCGTAGGATACCCAAACCGACAGCTGACGTAGCGGGATCTCCGACCATAGCCACGCGAAAGGCGCTGGAGGCGATACCAATCCGCGCGCGCTATCGGCATCATCCGTGGAAACAGGTCTTGCCCACCGCGGTGGTCTATCGGTATTCGGAGAAGTGTAAATCGTGTGATGTGTACGGGAAAGCATTCGATCTACTCCCGGCAATCTACCGACGGATTTGTGAGCATGGGCACTACAGTATTGTGAGCTGCAGCCCTCTGATACTTTTCATAAGGATGCGGGAGACTCGTATGTTTAGGCGTCTGCCAAGTTTATCGGTGTACGCGCGTTCGTCACACTTAAGAGATAGAGCTGAGGAGCCTTCATTTAGTCAGTGGGATTGGACACTTAAAAGCGGCGGAAGAGGAGGAAGTAATGAGGACGACAACAACAAGGGCAGCGGTGATACTGAAGATGCATTAAACGAGATCGATATCGACGAACTTCGTGAATTTCTTCGTCGGCCTGATGACTTTAGGGAGGTACCCGTGCCCCATCTTTACATAGAAAATCCAAAGATAAATAACGTGATCTTATCCGTTCTAATGACGCTCGTTAAGCAAGGGAGTATCCAACTTCGTCTGCTTTCACGACAGGAATTATTAGAAATTAGGAAATCCAATCGAGAGTTCATGGAGGAAGCAAATAGGCTCAATCAAAGTCGCAAAGAAGCATCCCCTGAAGGGGACATGCCTAATGCATCTTCTGATACCAATATGGGGCCTCCAAAAAAGTTTCAAAATGTGTCCACTATTGACAAAAGTTTAAAAAATCTCATTGAGTATCATATGGAAAGGATATTCGACAACAGCACGCAACAAGGCGCCAAATGGAGTGTGGAACCTGAGAAAGACGCAACTTCGTCTCATTCTCAACCCTCTTCTTGGTATGGGTTGGCATGGTCACGCATGACGGGGCTTTTGGATGGAATCATTTCTTCATTTTACTTAATACTGCTTATCCTGCTTGTCATAGAACAATATCGATGGAACCGGCACCGGACGAAAGAAATTTGGTAATGTTTATGCGTGTGTGATAGAGAGCCATCACCCTCTTCTCCTTGACACATGATGATGACTCATTTCACTACTCCCTATCTTAATTCCACTTTTCATACAACGCGACACACGAATTTCATATGTTGTGTCTCTTGTTTCATTCAATCACAATGGCGGTGCTTTATGCTGTCTTCGGATGTTTCTCACTTTCTTCCTTCTCAGATGGTTATCCTCTAGTCCTCTCCGTTTTGCGTTTCTGCTTTGTTGTTGTTTAGGCTACAAATCAACAAAAAAGAGAAGATAATTTAAAGGACGAGTTCCGTCCACTCTGTCTGTGCTCCATGAGTATGGATTTAGTGAGTTCAGTGCGACTACCTAGTGTGTTCGCGCCTAAGGAACACTTTGAAAAAGAACAGTATGTGCGGGTCTGTTTCCCCAACGGAAGAGTTGAGATTGGTGCAGTGATGGGCATCTCAGATGATTTTATAACTGTGTATACTACACAAGGGTACGACATAAATGTGCCAAGACATTTCGTAAAGCGGGCGTTTTTGCTTGTGTTGGACTTGAATGGCGTCCTTGTAGCGCGTGGGCGTGGCTGTTTCCTGCATCGCCCACATGTCAAGGAGTTTCTGAAGTTTGCTTTTTCAAATTTCGTCGTCGCGGTTTGGACTAGTGGACTAGAAAGGTCTTCGAATCTGATTATCGAAAGTGTCTTTGATGGCTATCAAGACCGTCTTCTTTTTAAGCTGTACCGCGACGCGTGCGTCCCGCGACCCACCGAAGAAAGCCCATTCGGCACCCTGAAGGATCTCCAAAAGGTCTTCGACGCGTATCCCAAGAGTTTCCATAGTGTAAACACAATTATCGTGGACGATTCCCCATGCAAGTGCTCGCACCCGGACATCGCGCTCTGCCCGATCCCTTTCAAAGACGCCAACGCGCAGCGCGAGGACGACGGCCTTTTGGAGGCCATCGAAACGCTCCAGGAGGTTCTCGACTCGGACTCCCACGCGCCGTTGATTCGTGCGGCCGAGGGGCGCCTGGCACGACTGGCGCGACAGGAGCAGGTGGAGGAGTCGTGCCTGCCCATGAGTGGTGCAGGGGGATGCCCTCCAACCCAAAGCGAGGCGGGGGTTTCCCGACCCGGGGCGGAGCGGGGGGGAGGGCCGGAGGATAGGGGCGTCCAGCTCGAGCAGGTGAATCTGTGGAAGTCGCGGTTGTGCTGCCAGCACCTACGCGGCTGCTGCAGACATGAGAACTGCCGCTTTAGTCATGACCCTGACGACGGCAAGAGAGCGTGCTCTTCGAAGAATTACTGCATGCATGGACATGCGTCGCGGTGGGTCACCACCGTGGCGGATGTGGCTATCGAGTTTGAGAGGCGGGCTTCTGACGAAACCCATCATTTTTGGCGGCGTAGAGGCAGAGGCGCGAGGCGCACCTCATAGAAATCATGCATGTTTGCCCCCTCTCATTCTCTCCTGGCCGTGCCTTTTGTCTTGTGAAACACTTCGCTGCCCTCCCTATGATGTTTGTTCGTCATGCCTAGTGAGCGGAGGGTGTTATACTAGGAACCCTGGTGAATTTGCTCATGCAAGCTGTTTTATTGCCCTGAGAAGAGTTTGCAATCCATGTGCTCGATGCCATGGGATGGGCTGGCAGGAATGGTACAGCATCATAGGGACAATTCGGTTTAGTGAGAGCCGGTCGCATTCAGGCCTACGAGGTCGAAATGGCGGGAAAAAGGTCATTGTTAAATGATATCGGAGGTAGCCTTCGATTTTTGGTTCATCTTTCCCACACAACGTGCATGAGAGAGGTGCGGGACTCAGTTTGATTACCATGGAAGCGCCAACTCAAGACCGTGTTAATACGACAAATTCGTTTGCCATAAAGAAGTAAATATGTCTACATTGTGTTTCTTTTCAAGCGTTTTTTCACTGATTTGTTGTTTGTATATATATATATATATATATATATTATT